AAACACACTATTTAGCTCGTCCGGACGCCCCACCCTTCTTCATTTTTCTGGTTTCATTCATGTCCAGCCCCCTTTTTAACGTTTTTTCGAAGCCTTTTTTCACTTTGAAAACACCGTTGCACGCAATTTCTTCACCTCAGTCGCACTACTTTCAATCTTGTCTTCCATTTTTCATCATAATCTGGATTACCCAAAATTATCGTGAACTGTGCCTTTAAGGCGTTTCTACCTGCAAGCTCAGCTCCTTTACCGAAATATTCCACTACAAGCCATCAAGGGGTCCGGAAAAGATTAAAAGGACTCAGACAGCATGACTATCCCCGACAACACAACCCGGCTCAATTCTCTGAAGCAATGAACAATGAATACACAAGCATAAAAACATGCTAATCAATCAGGCAATTAGACGAATTAGGACGAAATGTCAAACAAAATAATCACCTATCTCTCGCAGACTATTCTTTGCCTCAGAGGCGACGGCGATCAAGAAGGGTGGATTGCGGGTACGCTCCAAGTTACTTACCATGAGAGTAGCGGGGTCGGCAGGTTCGAGGTGAGCGCTCAATATTCTCCTGGTTCGGAAGACATTTTGACTGCTTGTTCCGGCTATTCGATCGTATGTTATCCTATCGCTGATTGGCTTTATTTCCTGCTTGTCACCACTGTTCACGATGCAAGTGGAGGTTATTAGTAGTGCCATTTGTGAACGCAGAGTCCAAAAAAGTAGACGCAGGTAAGGGTTCTCTTCGAATCGAATACTTCTACAGTTCTAGATCCCCCATGGAGCGTTTATGGGCAGCTCAGAATTTGTGAAAATATTCTGACAATGTAGTTATTGAGTGATAGTTTAAAATCATTAACCTTCTTCCGAAAGGTATGAATCAAAAACCGTGCTCATGGCATCGTAGAGAACTCACGTATCGTGCTCCGATGGTAGCAATAGCATGAGATGTCGGTACTACAGATATCAGTGCACCAACGGCAACAGCACTGAATAACCATGTTCGTTCATTCTTACTGTAGCCATGGTAATGAGTCTGAAAAAAGGTTCTGTTTGAGTGATAGCCAGATCTTTCAACCCTCATCTTCCTTTTCTCTCGCTTCTTGGATGAGATTTGAGTGGCGCTGATTTTGGATCTTTTGAAATTTTGATGGAAATTATGGATGCATGCCTCCATTCCCCTGGTGCCAGTTATACAAAGTACTTTTCTGTGAATCGGAGATGAGCTAGAGCCCGAAAGAATCGCTCAAAACGTAATGACCCATAGACCATATCCCGTATGAAACTCCCCCAGAACAACCGAGCCCCTATTCTGCCCAGAACAGCCATGAGGGTCATCCTCCCTTCGGTTAATCAAAATCGAGATAAACAGCTCCTTAGGACCTCCGATTTGACCTCATGATGGGTCCATGATTGGTACTGCCCCTACCCTACCCGCATAGATTGTTATCAGTGACCAACAAAGATCAGATGCATGCGTCTGGAATCTGTAAGAGCCGTTCGCTCAATCATTCATAACCAGTTTTTTGAACTGAAAATTGACAGCGCCGTCTTGATCACAGCGTGTTCATAGATATTCTTAGTCACATACATCATCCAAAGGTTTTCGGGCCGACTTTTGATGATCGCGATTCCTAACTATGTGGTCGTCTACGTCATGCTCTTCGTTCGATGCGACCACTCAACCACGGCGAAGCGGCTTCCCCGAACCCGTCAGTGTAAATGATATCAGAGAGAAGTCTAGAAGCCACCTTTTCGTCTCCGCTTCCGGTGAAGCGATTGGTCACCTCCAGTGATGTAGCGGCAAATAATGTGATTAGAAATGAGACAACGAAATCATGATTGCGAGCGGACAACTGCACTCGCAAGATGAAGCTGGACCTTATTGAACCAATCTTCGTCTTTCAGACTTTCAATTGAAACCTTTCATACAGTTGGGGAAGGCAGATGGGTAAAGGTAACCTTCGTGAAATAATATTTTCGTCTTAGAGGAATCCCAGGGAAGTACTAAGGCCGACCCATAGTCAGAAATAAATAAAAAGACTGATCTGGTAAGCAAAACAAGAAGATTAAAATCTGTTTCGATACGAAAAACTTCTGTGCCCCCCACTTGCTTTCTGAAATCACCGGAGAAGCATATCTGACAAAGCCAGAAACTTTTCGAAAAGGGCTTCGCGGTCTCACATCCCAGTGGTTTCCCTTCTCTGAGCCCACCGGCAGTGGAGAATGGAAAGGAAGGATGAGTGTAATGTCTAAGTTACTGCTCACTATTTGCACAAGCCGTAGGAAGACAACCATTGACCCTTAATTCATTTAATCTATGGAAAAAATTAGTGAATAATTTTGCTAGGGGATTAGCTCCCATGTTAAATCTGACGAGGAAAAATAATTGACTTTTGCTACCCAACAGAGAATAGATTCTCTATGGGTGGCAGAAATGAATGGGGAAATGTCTCGCCTCCTCTCCATGGACATGAACTGTGGATCGAATCCCGCCAAGGGTAATCAACAGCTTCCATATTTTTGGTAGCGAATGATTGGGGTTAACTTTTTTGTCCTGAGACACAAAGGAAGTTCTAGCACGATCTTCGGCTCATTTTCTTAGATCATCGCAAACGTTCTGTTTGCATTTAAATCCGTCACGATGAAGAAGCGGTTTGTAAATGAAGTGTGAGGGACCGATTAAGTTCCATTTTATACCTCCTTCCTGCATCAAACTTTGCCGTTCCAGAGCTCTTTGGAAGCCCTTGGAATTAGGTCTCTTTCTGCCTCATCATCTTCTTTCAAATACCAATTCTTTCAAGGTTTCACCTCCCTGAAATTTGTATTTTCCCACCCTCTTCCTCAATATCCCTGCAGAGCAAATGAACCCCTCAGGGCTAATGCAGACTTATTCGATTCGACAGTGGGCATGACGCAATGCCAGAAAAACTGTCTCGTCAAACAATGATCTCATCGGCAGAACAACGGACGACCAGTTCGGACCACGTAAAAAAAAGGCTGAACCAGAAAAGTTTCTCCAAAAAAAAAGCTCACTTCATTGACGGAGAGTTCTTCGTGGGTAGCTGGCATGCAGAGTACCGTGAAATTGAAGCAGATTATATTAGCCATTACTGATGACAGGCAAATGATCGTCGCACAGAGTACTGCATAACGAGTGTACGACCGATCATCGTCTGAAGACTTCACGCTTTCTGAAAGGACCATTTCATTCAGTGGACATAAGCAAAACTGGTAGGAAACTATAAATGCAATGGGTAAAGAAATCTTCATTCAAACACTTCAACGATTCTGTGCAAAGGTTGAGCGCGTGGCGCATCCTGAAAGGTAATACCGAATTCACCCAACTCTCTTACCTATCTTCGAAGAAAGTTAGAAAAGGGTCGCAACAACATTGGTTTCAATCTGTTTGCAATCCTTTTCTTCCTATTGGATGAGCCGTGCTTTTTGCATCCACTCACGACTCATTCTTCCGTTCCCCTTCCTCTAATTCCTTTCCCCCACGTCCTCTTCGAGAATCACCATCGCCTTTACCCATTTACGGTTACCCTTCTACTAACTGAACGACTTCGGTAGCACTATTACAGACCCGCAGAGCTGTTTACTCCTCCTTCTCTGCCCTTTAGCGCCTAGTGTTATAGAACCTTTCCCATTTTCGAAAATAACGTGGCGCTCACCTTTGGATCCAACCCTAACAACCACTGGTTGGCCGTTATTTGATAGCGATGAGTCGCCGACAGCTACCATCTGGAATCAGGGTTCTTACCTGAAAATGACCTGATTGAAAAGATTGGACATTTAGCACTTAGAGAAGTCATTCTGCCAACATTCTGCTGAAAACAAACATTCGCGCGTTTCAAAACAAGTAGGTCTTGAACAGAAGACCTGATGCTCACGAATAGAATTCCCTATGAATAACCATTGAAGCTGCTCGGGTATTGACTATGATTGCCATTGGATCTTAAAAAATCTCGAAATGCTCAGGTATAAGTGAAGATGTGTCTAGAGGGGTCACTAAGCGAGGTATGCAGTAACTGAGACAAGAAAAATGGTAAAACAGTGGCTCAACACTAGAAAATCACTAGTTAAGACATCAGGAACGCAATACATGTGTGGTGCGCATCCTGCTAGAAATCCAACATCAAGCTTCAATGAATTAATTTGATGTGAATCCATATGTTACTTACAAGAAATTGCAGCCATCCTGAGAGGCGATTCATGGCTTTTGGTCCTAAACGGCTGATGGGCCAAGCCGACTTTCTCACAGCCCGAGGGATCTGTTGAAAAGATCAGCCTAGTTCATCAACCGTGTGGGACCACAGGAATTCTCTGGTAAACAAACACACCCGATCATGTAGCTCGAGTTCAGGTTCAAACGGAGTAAGTAAATAAACAATATAAAATTGCTGATTTGAAAGGTCAAGCAAGTCAAAGCCATAATCGAATATGGAATGGCCTAACTAATGAAGGACACCAATTCACTAGCTCTCTATCAGTAAGGCTCATCCCACATGGTGAATTTTGAAATAGCAATTGTAAACATCAACATTAGCCGATTTGGCCCAATTTTTTCAGCCTCCAGTCAACCATAGGGCAATAGAAGTTTAAAATTTTACAGCTTATCGAAAGTTTCAGCACCGCAGTTGGAGAGCGGCAGTTCGCCTGGTTGGATACAAAGGCAAGACGATTACTTGGTAGCTCTAGAGGTACTGCCTAAGATATGCGGTCGGTACCGATAAGATATTTGTTTTTACGAAGACAATGAAGTAGCATAGAAGCTTATCAACTTAGAAATTAGGATGCAAGTAGTAAACAACTGAAAAGGCTACGAAAAACAAAGCTGGTGCACAATAAGAGGTACAGGCAGAGAACAGAGAAAAAGTGGCTCCCAGAATTCAATTTATAATCCGAGAAATTTTGCAGATGAAGGATTACCTACTGCATTTTAGATTTTTCAAACACCAAATTAGAACAGATATTTCAAAAGACAAAAAAGTAGAAAAATCAAAATTCAGACATCGTCATTCTCTAGAAAAGCGTTCATACCAGATTACATAGGCAAAAATTAATATTTTGAAGCAATGTCCGAGGGCGTTTAGTCAGAGGAACAACTAAAATAACCTTTTTCCACGTCTAAGGTTTTCGGTATATCAAGAGCGAATACCTTCGGGTACTGAATACTTCAGAAACCCCATCTTCCCGTATCTTCACTTCTCCTTGGTTGGTACGGGACTTGGCTGGGAGGCCTAAGGACGAAATTTGTCCCTCGTATACCATTGTCGATTTTGAACGAGAATGAAAGCAGATGCAATTGATTATTTAAGAAACTGAGCAAACTTCTAGGAGTACGATTTATGGCTTATGAATAGCTCAGTGAGTAGATGGACTAAGATGAAGTATGTATGGAATATGAAGTTACTAGAATAGTCCTAGGGATTGTGAGCCTGTGAGAAGGTAATAGTACAAAGAGGAGGAATAATAACACGAAGTAGCAAGTGATGTGATCCGGCGATCAACGATGACGATTATGTGACCGGTGATCATCGGGCAGTCAGCCTTCTTGTGTCATCAACACACGCACTGAGAAATGGGGATATCCCCCCTGGTCGGCCCATCCCATTCCACCCCCTTACGACGGAGATCTATTTCGGCTAATATCACTGTTGATCCACTAATACATATCAAAAACCAGAAGGATTTCCGTATAAGTCGTTCTAAAATGGCAAAGAAGGCCTAGATGTTAAAGGAAGGTTCGAGTTCAATATTGCCTTTTCGGAGCTGTAGAATAGATACAAGGGAAAGCTTGGAGAAGTACCACCAGCAAGCAAAAAATAAATTATAAGAACCAGAAAAAATAGAAGGTCGATAATCGATCCATACAGTGGATGCGCCACTTATTTGGCTTCCTTCAAGATTTTACTGCGAAAAGGAGAAAATGTAGCTGCTCAAACCACTGGTCCTAGGAAGCTAGGTGTGTTATGCTGAGTCAGATATGGACAGCCCAATTTTTGATCAGAATTTTGATTTCTCGAGTTGATCCACATAGCCTCTGGAAAAAATGGCCAAGAAATATCGCCTTCATGAATAACAACGGCAACGGTTTCAGATATCCATAGAGAAGGAATGAAACGGAAAGGGAACATCATGAATCGCTCGTTTACTCCGAGATACACTTTCACGCTACCATTTCTGTGTTCTTTGAAGGTTACACACACACGTCAGCAAACATCGCTGAGAAACCTGTGCATTGTATACAAAAGTTGAGAGCGGAAGTAATACAAAAAACAATTCTACCGTATCCTTACTCACACTGTGCTGCTTTGCAAAAAAGTAGTGAAGTGTTAAGCTGCCCCATTCGGATTTCTGTTTGTAAAAGTTCTTTTGCAAGAGTTGTGAAGTGACATGAGTTTGAAGAGGTGAGTACACAGTAAAAGATAAAACTGTCAACATTCTATGACATTGAAAACTTTTCTTTTCATGACGGTCCCTACAAACGCCGAGACCTACGAGTTCACGCACACACAACTGTACAAGAGCGGTTTGACTGAGGTTTAGTACTATCAGCTCAACTGTAGTGATACTTGTCTAGGCTCCCTCTCTCTCTGAGACACCGTACTGTCCCTTTCATGCCTATGGAACTCCCTTTGCAATGGTTCAAAATAATTCACGTAAAATCGAGGGATAAAAGTTGAATATACTTCTCTGATGCAGGAACTGCGATCTCCTGTGAGAATAGTCAGGTACATGCCATTGCTGCCAAATTGTCAGAACTGAATGGGTTAATCGTGCTAGCATCCCTCAAATTGCGCGACATGGCCATTGAACCGACCTAGTTTCGACCTGGCAACAGCGATGACATGTACCAACCCATATCCAGAACTGGCTAGTCGTAAAAAGAACAATATCTAAATTTCTGTTAAGTCTTTCAATGGGAACACTGGTTTCCACCTGTGTCCTGAACGCCGAGATTGAGGGAAAGGCAGTGGTGAGGATAAACCTTACATATGATTGAATACAAGAGTATCAGCCTCATATTTGTCTAAAAAATAAATTTGAAAAAAAAACTCGATTTGCTTGCAATATAAATAAACCATTCCGTCTGCAGTGACGACGGCAATGGTGATTACAGGGTTTTTTACGAAGTGAGACCAGATAAATACCAGATAACTGGATTCGATGCGTTTGATCGAGTAGTGGAAAAACAAGGTAGGTCATCCACGCCTGTTTATCAAAAGAGGACTTTAATATCTGAGTTTTAGAAATGGATTTGAACAAGTGGAAATCACCACAAATACAATTTAAGCCTAGAGAATGAGAAAATTAGATGCTTTGTGATGATCAACCTTCTCCTAGGATGCCCTCCTGTACCGATATATGCTTCAGAAATACGCACTCATAATGGTTGGAAGGTAACTAGTACTGAGTTTAAGCCGCCAACGGAGAGTAAGTTTACTCCCTTCACTTCAGGTGGTCAGTTCGATCCACCCTGCCTGAACCGTTCGTCCATATGGGAACGCCTGTTCTTAGTTTAGGTTTTTTGGAAAATAATGGCAGATTTCCAAATGAAAAAGAAAGATCTTGCGGCAGGTAGAAAACTCTCATCATGGTTTCCTCTAGAAGAGATTTTTAGGAAAGTCTGCTCGCTAACGATTGTAAACTATCAAGCGTTAGTCATCCCCACTTCTAGGATGTGCCCCGTATTCGACTTTCATTCGCAATCGTGTTGCGTTTTGAACGCGGTAATCAATGTAGATGTCCAGGTCAGTGCTTTCGTCCTCCCAGACGAGATTGGTACCTGTTGGCAGACTCTATGAGAAGGAGGGGAGGGGGTTAGGAGGTAGAGGCTCGTTGACTTGAGAAAGTATC